CACGGAACAGCGGGCGCGCTGCGTGGCCGCGGCGGCCACTCGCCGTAAACTGAGGCCATTACAGCGATGACCGTTTTCGTTGGACACGCCGCCGGCGAGGTGCGACCCGCAAACAAAGCATGAACTTGCGACCCATTTTGCTCCGATTTTTGACAAATGAAGGCGCGTGTTCCCAGCGTTTAGAACGTGGCTCCCACGGACCGGCGGCCGTTCCTCACTGGCGGCACTCGCACCTCGCGGAACGCCGCCGCCGCTACCGGCGGTCCCCACGCTGGGTCAACAAAGCTGAAGGGGACGACTGCGTGCCAGCGCCGCCCCGTGCAGCCTCCGATTAGCGAGCCGGCGCTGCTCGGCCTGAGTAAAGGGCTCTGCTCTCCCATGACCGCGGTTATCACAGTCTGCTGCAGCTGGGTGACCGCTATGTCCGCATTAACCCCACGTATCCTCTGGCAGTAGCTGTCCATAACCCTAGCTAGCGTTCCATCTGCACGGCAATTCCCACTGCACTGCCCAGCCGCGCGGTCTCGGTGCACTCCGGCCTCGTCCGCTACGTGGACGCAGCCGACTTCGGTCCCGACCAAGGCCTGTAGGGTGTGTCAGGCCTCTGGTCCCAGCCGCGGCCTGTGGGGCCTATCATGCTTTTGGTCGCGGCCGAGGCCGGCAGGGCCCGTTAGGCTTCTGGTCCCGACCGCGGCACTGAAGGACCCGTCAGCCGTGCGGCACTCTCCACGTCCTCCCCAGGCCTTGCAAACGCATGTAACTTCGGCGCGATCAGACTGGCTATTAAGGCACGCAAACACACGGTGTGCATGCCGAAGGGTGAACTTCAAGACCGGCATAGTTGCGTCACCATTGAATGGTTCAGAGGTGGGCAGCGCTCGCCCAACAAAGCTCGGACAGGGTGCAGGCGACTGGTTAAGGTTAGAGACATTTGGGGAGGGAGGAGCAAATATGATGGTCCTTTGAGGCATCCTTTGCGTCCAGCAGACGCAGAACAGCGGAAGTGCTGCTCCTTTCTCCTCATTTTGCATGGGTGACCTCCTGAAAAGCTTTCATCAGTAACAGATCTATACGCCGCTATTAAAGAGCTGCGACTGACTTTATGGTCAATGCTGACAACAACGTAAAAAGGTCAGGTAAATGGGTCAAATCAATAGGTCCGACCATTGTCACGCGTACCAGCGCTTTAGATAACTTGGCAAGAGCCGAACGAAAAGGAACGGAGTTTGGTCAATGATGAATCTTAAGTAGTGACGGAATTTGTGTATATGTATCAGGGTTCGCTACAACTGGTTCAACTGCTGACTGACTGATGACTTCAGTCATGCTTACACTGCCGCGGTGGGGGAAGAGATCAATATCATTAACAAAACATCAAAATTTCCTTATCATTTTGCCAGCGGTTTGTGCTCATCTCACCAGGGGCTTTTTAACAAGTACCCTCACTGTCTCACCACACACACTTGGTCGATGTGCAAGCGTGGGCCAAAAGTCATCAATACCGACTGCATGTGGGCACACGAACGAGCGTTTGGTGACTTGCACCTTGTAAGCATGATGCTACGCCTTTTGTGACACGAAAACTAGCGAATTACTCCGTCATATGTTGATGCATACGGAAATGTGCATCCAGAAAGTAACTGATTAATCAGGGAGGCTTGCCTGTGCAGGCAAGCGGCAGTTGCCTCGTTCATTATCGCATTCCACATCGCCTTTCCGCGTGGTGATTGGGCGGAAAGGGATTGTGGATTGCAGTAATTGGAATGGTCATCAGAGTACAGCAAGCTGCAAGCACCCGTCTGAAACTTAGAGTACAACAGGCTGCAAGCATCCGTCTGGAACTCAGAGTACAAGCTGCAAGCACCCATCTGGAACTCAGAGTACAAACAGGCTGCAAGCATCCGTCTGGAACTCAGAGTACAACAAGTTGCAAGCACCCGTCTGGAACTCAGAGTACATCAGGCTGCAAGCATCCGTCTGGAACTCAGAGTACAACAGGCTGCAAGCACCCGTCTGGAACTCAGAGTACAACAAGTTGCAAGCATCCGTCTGGAACTCAGAGTACAACAGGCTGCAAGCACCCGTCTGGAACTCAGAGTACAACAGGCTGCAACCACTCGTCTGTCATCGGAGTACAACAGACTGCAAGCACTCGTCCGGTACGCATACTTCCCAACGGTGACTATCTGAAGCGAACGTTTATGCGTGATAACCTGCCTTTACAACATACTTTTTACAGCACTTTGAACTACACCCCAGTGCAGTGGAAGACCATAATATCATAGCACGCTGTAGTTATATCGATTTCTCTTTACGTTAAGTTGTCTTCTTGCAAGAGGATCATGGCGGGGAGGTGTGAAAGTGTCGTTCTTATGCGTCGTCAGTAAATTGCAGAGCATTTCGTGGTTATTACATAGACATTTTACGATCCACGTTTGGAAGCCTCTACGTGAAAGATCAATATTTGTATGCAAGTTTATCTACTTCCTTGTTCCCGACGTGCAAAGCAGTTTACGCAAACAGCCTATCGATATTCACGAATCTTTTCATCATCGATCTAAAATGAGCAATCTCACCGATTTGCCCATAATTTTCCGCACCGTTAGCTTTCCGTTTTCCGCACATGCGGCGCGCCAGAACCGGAGTAGGTCTGGCCTGCGGCAGTGCGGGTTTTATTTACACAGAAAACGCCCGGTGTTTGGGCTTACGAGTCAACTTCCACAGCGCAGCAAATCGTTCTTCTCTTACCCTCGGACTGGAAGAAAAACCATCGATTGTACCACGTGGACAGATGATGAGGGTGCAAAAAGCGAACTCTGCTTGGCGTGAACTACGATCCCAAAGCTGTCAATCTAAAACATTCGATGACTGGGACATTTGTTTTGACACAATGAAACTTCACGGATGACGTTTCTCAAGCAACTTGGATATCGTCGCGGGTCCTAATCATGAACCGTCTTCCAAACGTCTCAGGTTTTATATCGGCCGTTGAAGGGCTTTATGCTGATTAAATGGATCCGTCAATTGCTGGAACAGACACGTTTTAACTGGCCTGTATTCCACGCTACTCGCAGTCCACGTTACCGGCGACTTTTCTCCTTGTTGGGTTGGCTCGCCGGACCATTTAGTTACCGGCCCGTCTCTGATAAGACCCAAGGCCATAATTACCGCTGATTACAACTTTAAAATATCGGTGTTTTATCCTTTATCTAAATCGTAGCGGAAGCCCCGCGATTAGCCCCGATACGGGACTCGATCAATCCAGAAAGAGAAATGCCTTTTGACGATTCCGGTCATGCGTCCTGCGTCCCTCGCCGTGAAAGCGGCGCCCGGCCTGGCGCGGCGCGATTACGGACATTGTCTGCTGACTCCGGAAGCCGCCGTCTATACGGCGCCCTGGACACCGGCCGGCCCACGGCACCCAGCCGGAAAGCGCCGCCGACCTTTGTCCGGGGAGCGCCGGACCGGTGCTGAGCCCGACACCTGCGGAGGCTGCAGGCTGGCTCCGAGCGCCGCCCGCGGAGCCCCCCCCCCCCCCCCCCCTCCCCCTCCCGCCAC